ATTTAAGAATTCTAGAATAAAAATAAAATTTTTTTATAAAATAACTAAGTTTGGAGTTTTAGGTATTTCTTCTAAAATTTTATATTTCATAAGTTTGGTAATTTTGATTTTAATTTTTAATTTTTAATTTTAATTTTAATTGTTTGAATTTTAAAAATTAAAATTAAAATAAAAAACCACAACCATACTAATGGAGTTTTAGAAAATACTTTTTGATAAAATTTTGATTTTCTAAAATTGAGTTTAAAAACATTTTTCTTAATTAATTGGTTAGAAATGTCCAACATAAAAGACATACAATTTAAATATTTTCTTTTATTATAAAAGTGATGATTCCCTATTAAATAATTATAAATTTTCATATACTTCTTATATAGTTTAATATATTGATATATATCTCCTTTATTAGGTATCACTAATTGACAACATTAAAATTAAAAAATTTAAACACATAAATTAAATAACATTTTCAAATTTAAAATTTTTTTTGTAAATCATGAATAAAACTATCTTTTCTTTTGACAATGAAAGGTCTAAAATTATCTATATTAAAGTCAGTAAAAACAAAGATAATCTATATTAGTCCAATTCAATATTTCCCTCGCACATATACTCACAATAATACTAAAACTCTCTGCTCTTGTGGTTGATACCTCATCACTCTATAATGTACGTAGTACTACATATTACAATCAAGTTAAGTATACTATTTAAAACACTTTTATAATTGTGTATAATTTTATGATAAAAAAAATGTCTTTTTATTGATTATTTTCATAATCAATATGATTTCATCTAACGTATAATTTAAGGGCAATTTAATTTTAGTATCATTTTATCTAAAATTTTACATGTAAATAATATTAACTTTCAAGGACATATATTTCTCTTTGGAAGGATTCTTGTTGCCTGCTAGAATTTGGCCGAGGGGAGGATGATGAAAGTGAAAGAAGAAGAACGAAAGGGAAAATGGAAAGTTCCGGGGATAACACAATCGTACTTTTTTATTTTTTTTTTTAAATTTAACGGTTGCGTTAGGTTTAGAGTAAAAATGAATGACAAGGGGCTAAGCTAGAAGTGCCAGCATGTAAGTAAAAGTGCAAATACGGATTTTAATTTTGTTTTTTTTTTATTTAAAAATGTTAATTTTGTCCATTTCTAAATAAAAATGTCAATTTTTAATTTTTTTTTAAATAAAAATGTTAACTTTCAATTTTTTCTAAATAAAGATGTTAATTTTGTCAGTTTCTAAATAAAAATGTCAACTTTCAATATTTTCTATTTAAGGATGTCAACTTTCAATTTTTTCTATTTAAGGATTAATTGAATAGTAATGCTTAGGTAGCTAACATATTTTTTTAGGTTAAATATTTGAATTGGTCCCTCAATTTTTATTTTTGAACCAATTCATCCTTGAACTTCAGAAAGTACCAAAAACGTCCTTCAATTTCAATTTTCAGTTTTGTCTTTCCGTCAGTTAAATGTTGATGTAGCTAATTTTTTTGCTAATTGATTGACTATTTTACATTTTCAATATTAGGTGGAAAATCCATCATGTAAAAAATGATTATGTGGATTTTTTAAATTTTAAATAATTTATAAACTACTTTAATTCTTAA